TCAGCCTGTAGGGAACAGATTGAAAGGTATCAACAACAAAGCACTTTAAGATGTGCTTTAGCAGCTCAATAACGATAGCATTAAAGACAAGCAAGTGAACTCAGGATGTATTAAGCCATTCAACAAATGCGCTTTAGGAATTCATCTTTGGATAAAAGGATATGCTGCAATGATTCAACAAGTACCACATACAAAGCGTGGGAGAATGATCTAGAGGATGGTGTATTACCTGACAAACTTGCATCACTTGGTAGTAGGCAATGATTCCAACACTCATGTTAACTTTCCCAACTTCCTTGACAGCTCTGTATCTCTTTCCCGTTACACCAATGTACATTCTCACTCCTCCAACCAGTAATATAAAGATGAACACAACCGCAAAAATAAGATAGCCCAACAAAGTCAATGTTTTAATCCCTGCACACACCCACCATAAGCAGACATTTTAGAGGTTTCCCAAAGTCCACAAGCACAAGAATGATATTACCAAGCACTCAAAATTAGTCATTTGTTACAATTCACAATCCTTAAAATGATCACTAAACCTTAAAATTAGAAAAGATAAATCCAGTATAATCCCAAATTACTACCCTTGGCAACCAAATAGGCCAATGAAAAATCTTGTTAGGAATCACGACTCTCCACAATAGTATGATAGTGTTGTCCACTTTGAGCATAAGCTCTCGTGGCCCCCAAAAGCTTTCATACCAATGGAGATGTATTTCATACTTATAAACTCATGATCATCCCTTTAATTAGCCAATGCAGGACTCCCTCCCAACAATCCTCAACACATCTTTGTTCTAACATACCAAAATAAAAGTTAACTTCCTCCAAGACAACTTGGAGGATGTCTACTAAGTATGGTAATAATCAACATAAGTGATTCATTCTAGAAATCTCACCAAAGCTAATCAAATTACAGAATGACACGAAAGAAGACCACCAAGCGAACACACTTGCTGCTGTAATTCACGAAGGAGGATGTCCACGGCATCTTGATTCTATTCTCCAATTCCACTAATACAAAGGCGAGCACAATCCTAAACTGAAGGATAATAAAGCAAGCAAAAGAGAAAATAGTAAGTATAAATTAACAAATGTAAAATCATGAACTCCCTATTAAGTCAACAACCACGCAGTGAACAGAACCAGACGGACCATCAAGATCATTAACTTCACCAAAATTTCTCATTATCCAAACACGAGAAGAAAAGGAATCAAGTGCAAAATGACCTAAAAACGAAAGGGAAAACAGGACAGATCAACAAAATCAGAATTAATAACACAGTAATTTTAAGTAAAATTTAGAAAAACCTCATTGCAAGAGAACCCAGCACATCAACAATAATTACAGTAAGGAAGGACCAAAAGAAAAAAGCAGAACAACAGGCTATCGAAAGTACAAATCACTCGAAAATTAACTCCTACCATTACGCATCCAGCAATTAAGAAAGAACCCCAAAAATTTCTAGATGCCCTAACTCCTTAACTGCAAGCTAAACTAATCGGAAAACTAGCAAGTTCCCTAAAAAAATGAGACAAAAATTTTCACCCACGTGATTCCAGAGCTGAATCAGGCAAAGAAAACGAAGACGATCGGAAGATTTTCGTAAGAGTTCGGTAGATCAGTCCCCAGATTTGGTCTGCAAGCTAAAGATCTGGCAGGAAGATGAGAGAGAGAGACAGAGACAGAGAGAGGCGCAAGAGAGTATTTAATAAATTTTCGTTAGTTTTTTATTGGAATCTGTGCATCATGCATTGAAACAGACAATAGTCAAACCAGGAGAGCTGAGAGCCGTCGGATTGAAATGATTTCCGTAGATTATGGGATGTTATTATAACCGTTGGATCAAGCACGCGTGATCGGATGGAGCAGTGGGGTCCACGGAGTTTGACAAATGCGTATCGTGAAAACAACTCCTCGTGTGGGGATCTTAAAAAAGGAGGGAAATTTTATATATATTGCTATTTTGGTTTTGATTATGCTTTAATCTCTCTATGTAATTATGATTTAGTACGTTTATTCGTTTATAGTGGAATTAAATTGCTTATAAAAATTCATAGCTTAAATTAATATAATTATTAATTTAGAGTTTTACATATAATTTTTTTTTCTTTTTTTGTCCTTTTATGAAAAGTTTGTAAATAAATAAATTGGCCCAATACTACGATTCCATCTGGGCTGGCTTCTATATCTGGGCCCTTTAACATACCATCTTGACGCTCATGGGCTTCACATATCAAGATCGGCCCACTAACCTTTTTTTCATGAAAAAAATAGTTTATTTTATGTGTTAAAAATACCTCAATCAATATCATAAGATTTCAACTAAATGTTAACCTAACAGATATGATAAGATTATTGAAAAATGATAATGAAAACCATTAAAATCAAACACTCAATTGTTGAAACCCGTGATTTACACCACCAAATACAAGTTCATTTTCTCACTCTTTGAATCCTAAGAGGTAAAGACTCTCACTTGCCGGGAACGAAGTTTGTGGCGTAGGACCAAGCATTGTTGTTGACTGGGTCAGCAAGGTGGTCAGCCAAGTTCTCCAATGGTCCCTTTCCAGTGACAATGGCCTGAACGAAGAAGCCGAACATGGAGAACATGGCGAGCCTTCCGTTCTTGAGCTCCTTCACCTTCAGCTCTGCGAAGGCCTCCGGGTCATCGGCCAAACCCAATGGGTCGAAGCTTCCACCTGGGTAGATGGGGTCGGTGATCTCCCCGAGGGGACCGCCGGCAATACGGTAGCCCTCAACGGCGCCCATCAACACGACCTGGCAGGCCCAGATGGCCAGAATGCTCTGTGCGTGGACCAAGCTGGGGTTGCCCAAGTAGTCGAGACCTCCCTCGCTGAAGATCTGAGATCCAGCCTTGAACCACACGGCCTCGCCGAACTTCACGCCGTTGCGGGAGAGAAGCTCGGGGAAGACACAGCCCAAAGCTCCAAGCATGGCCCACCTGGAGTGGATCACTTCGAGCTCACGGTTCTTGGCGAAAGTCTCGGGGTCGGCTGAAAGTCCAGCGGTGTCCCAGCCGTAGTCACCGGGGAATTCTCCGGTGAGGTAGGATGGTGGCTCGCCGGAGAATGGGCCCAAGTACTTGACACGGTCGGGGCCGTACCATGGGCTGCCGGAGGAAACTTGCTTGGAGGCGGTCTTCCTCATGCTGATTCTTGAACTGCCCTGAACGTCGGGGGCGTTGGGGGAGAGCTTGATGGGCTTGCCGGCCAGAGATGGGGAGGAGAGAGCCATTGTGGAAGCGGCCATTGTTGGAGCTTGGAATGAGCTGTGTAATTGATGATGGGATGTATTTGTGGTGGGAAAGAAGTGAAAGGATGGTGCATAATATACATGGATTAAGGGGAAGGGTCCTTATCCATGAAAATCGATATCAGCTTTCTTATTGGTTGAAATTTCTATGGTCGATTTTCTTAACTCCAGATGGCCTCCTCTCTGCCACTCACACCTAAAAATCTAAGGCAACTCTATGAGCTTCTCTTTCTCCCAATCAAACTTCGACACGTGTATTGTTGATAGCACCAATATGCTTAGAGAATCTGCATACACTTGGTCATTTGTGGTGGGAAAGAAGTGGATAACTATCTATTCTGTTTGCCCATTATGAGATTGAAGATATAGATACCAATGGATAACTATCTATTCTGTTTGCCCATTATTTAAACTCACAAACCCACCCACTTCTTTCCCACCACAAATGACCAAGTGTATGCAGATTCTCTAAGCATATTGGTGCTATCAACAATACACGTGTCGAAGTTTGATTGGGAGAAAGAGAAGCTCATAGAGTTGCCTTAGATTTTTAGGTGTGAGTGGCAGAGAGGAGGCCATCTGGAGTTAAGAAAATCGACCATAGAAATTTCAACCAATAAGAAAGCTGATATCGATTTTCATGGATAAGGACCCTTCCCCTTAATCCATGTATATTATGCACCATCCTTTCACTTCTTTCCCACCACAAATACATCCCATCATCAATTACACAGCTCATTCCAAGCTCCAACAATGGCCGCTTCCACAATGGCTCTCTCCTCCCCATCTCTGGCCGGCAAGCCCATCAAGCTCTCCCCCAACGCCCCCGACGTTCAGGGCAGTTCAAGAATCAGCATGAGGAAGACCGCCTCCAAGCAAGTTTCCTCCGGCAGCCCATGGTACGGCCCCGACCGTGTCAAGTACTTGGGCCCATTCTCCGGCGAGCCACCATCCTACCTCACCGGAGAATTCCCCGGTGACTACGGCTGGGACACCGCTGGACTTTCAGCCGACCCCGAGACTTTCGCCAAGAACCGTGAGCTCGAAGTGATCCACTCCAGGTGGGCCATGCTTGGAGCTTTGGGCTGTGTCTTCCCCGAGCTTCTCTCCCGCAACGGCGTGAAGTTCGGCGAGGCCGTGTGGTTCAAGGCTGGATCTCAGATCTTCAGCGAGGGAGGTCTCGACTACTTGGGCAACCCCAGCTTGGTCCACGCACAGAGCATTCTGGCCATCTGGGCCTGCCAGGTCGTGTTGATGGGCGCCGTTGAGGGCTACCGTATTGCCGGCGGTCCCCTCGGGGAGATCACCGACCCCATCTACCCAGGTGGAAGCTTCGACCCATTGGGTTTGGCCGATGACCCGGAGGCCTTCGCAGAGCTGAAGGTGAAGGAGCTCAAGAACGGAAGGCTCGCCATGTTCTCCATGTTCGGCTTCTTCGTTCAGGCCATTGTCACTGGAAAGGGACCATTGGAGAACTTGGCTGACCACCTTGCTGACCCAGTCAACAACAATGCTTGGTCCTACGCCACGAACTTTGTTCCTGGAAAGTGAGAAAAGAGAGTTTGTATGGTGATGAATTATTATTGGCGGTGTAAATTAGTTGAAAATGAATGAAGTGCTTTCGAGTGAAATTTTATGATTTCTATTCTCCGTGGATCATGAACTCATAAACGCGAAAAATACTCGGGCAGGTCAAATTTAATAGAACTATAGAATTGCTTGAATTTTGGGTAAAGTTGTATTCAAAGATCAAGGTAAAGATTCTGAGTACTATTATAATGTACAAAATATTATTATCTACATATCGGTAAAAAAAAATAATAATAAAAAAAAGGTAAAACAATGGCAGGTTTCCCCCTGGCCTTATAGCAAGAAAAGCAGGTCCATGAATTATGATAGCCGTTGCCATCATGATAATCAAGCTCTCCTTTCGGCAGAAGGGACTAAGTGTCCCGTCTAGTGTACATGAATTTGTTTTCATCAGTGACCAATTCAGAGGTTTCCATCGCAGCAAGCATGGATCAGCCACCAAATTGATGATTATATATTCCACCACAGTTTGCTCTGGCACTCTCCATGGAGGAACTCTAGAGTATGAATAACAGATTGAAAAAACAAAAATAGAAGTGACGTTTTCCTTATGCACGACCTGCGGCAACTGCTCTTGCTCGTGCCACTGACTTTGAATAAAGATCCTCATACTGCGAAGCGGAAGTTTCCCAGCTGAAATCTACGTCCATGGCCTTCTGAACCAGCTGCTGCCAACCGCCTGGGTTATTAATGTAGTGGTTAAAGGCACGTTCCAGTGCATTATTCAACCCCTGTCAAAATAAACATACGCTACCTGAGTTATAGAGTAGATATCGTTTAATAAAATAACAGATTTATGTTTCATTTTCCGTTTCCGTACCTGCTCATCAGGGGTCAAAAATGTGTATCCATTTCGCAACTCAGCTGGAATTGTATCATCGTCAACATCAAAGACACTGCATGAAAAATATCGAACCATTAAAACACAAAAAGTTCTGATGAAATAAACTTGAATATGTGGAGATTGTTACAAGATAAGTTCATGCACCTGTCATTCAGCCCGCCAGTTTTCCGTACAATAGGAATGCAACCATATTGCATTGCAATCATCTAAAAAAAAACGAAGGTACAAAGTTGGTAAAGCTTCAAAGAAGTGTCATCACATTCTAACTAGGTCAACATATTATTTGTCAAAGCGCCACGAAAGAAGTAATACATATTCAATAAAAACTTCATTATAAGCATGGGAGACTATCTCTGTTTTTGGGTAACATTGGAAGCTAAGAGTATCTACAACACCAGGGGGGCTTGGAAGATTATAGTAAGAAAGCAATACTATTGAAAAGATCAACCTTTTGTTTTTAGATATAGATGAGTGTCTAGAAGAGCTTATGGGCACCTTGACTAATCTTCCCATATTGCTTAACCCTATTATATTTGGTTGATAAAAAATACGTAAGATGTTATAGCTTAGATAGGGGCCACCATGGATTGAACCCGTTCTCTCTCATTTTTTCAAGGCACTAGGCTGACCTATGATGGTTAATGATTAAAGAAACAAAATTAAAGAGGTGAAAAATAGTGTTGTTAAAATCTATTTATGGCTCTATTGATATTGGGTGGTGGGACGAGGCAAAAGTCGGAGGTCATGGTTTTGGCTTTTTAGGTGAGATCCTTATTTGTATATGAAATCCTTATTTGTCACAAAAAGTTTACAGGAAGGAAGATGGGAATAGAAAATGGTGGGAGAGAGGAGGAAAATTTTTCTGACATGGGAAATGTGGAAGGGTTAAAGTCCCCAGGTCCCAGAGACTTGCGAATAAATTCTCTAAGGGAATTTGGATTCTTATTATACCCAAGATCTAGAAATCTATGAAACTTATTGTACTGCTAATGAATTCCTCAAAATCTATGAAACTTCTGAGAAAAAGACATTCAGGGTTAGAAACTTGGGAGGAAAATTCAAGATCTAGAAAAGTAACGGTAAGAAAAAATGGTTATGATCTTTTACAATTGATTGAGGGTGTACTAGTTAGCAGAAGAGAAGACCCTTACGAAATTGGTAACTGGTCTCGCCAGTTTCCTAACAAAATCCATGTTTAAACATTGGGTACATATTCCTTCGTTACCTGAGAAACTCTTTCATAATTTGTGGACATCTAAATTCCCTTGTAAAGTGGATGAATAACTTTGTGGGCTTAATCTTCTTGGATGGGTTGAATAGGCTAAAAGAATCCAAAGATACCTTTATATGGCAATAAATCCAAGCTGCTGCAGTTTGTATTGGAAGACAGAGGAAAGTCCCAATCAGTTGTCGTTTCCTAGTTGGCTATAGTAGGAAAATTTGGAGGGCAAAATTTCAAGGCTTTGGCAGTTCTTGTTTTCGACTAGGGAGTTAGAGAGAATGCTATTATAATTCTATGTGGTCATGGGATGAAAAAGATTGCTAAATTATTGTGGACTAGTGTAGTCAAAGCAAGTTAAAAGGGAATATGAATAGAAAGAAATCAACTCATCTTTGAAAGCAAACAAATTGCTTGGGAGGAAAGTAGATTATTAATTGCAGCTTCTTGGCGTCTTGCATTGTTCTTTCTGGTTTCTAAAGAATTATTAATTCAACCAACGTAATCCATCTTGTTATGTGCCTTTATAATAATCACTGATAAGCACCTTTCTGAAACTATATTTAGGGAATTATCTTTGCTGGGAAGATGTATTGTAATATTCCTTTTCAAATATCAATAATTTTTTCAATCCTTTAGTGTTTGGACCAATTTTACAACTAAACTCAAAAGAGAGTTGCCAGACTCTAATAAGTTTAGTTGCTAAAAAAAACGTAGGACTATTTATCCTATGCAAGTGGTTACCCGAGTTTGATCCAATTTCCCATAAAACTATTTATTATTTAACAGCTACTAGGATAGCCCTCTTAGTTTTTGGTTAAAAAAAAGCTCAAACTAAGCCACATCTGCAACCATTTACCTGAGTGAGGCCACATGGCTCAAAGATAGATGGAATTATCAACATATCAGATCCCGCATAAATCCAATGAGAAAGAGACTCATCATATGCCAACACCAACCGAACTTGATCATGGCTCTGGAAATTATTAGCAATACCCTCAAATTCCCTCTGCAAGAACAAAAAAGCAATCATAAGATGGGTGCAATGGGCCCTAATGACATGTGTGCTCGAAAATCTAACATAGGCTCAAAAGTCTAAGTAGATAACCTGAATATGAGGAATTGGGCTTGAACCCAGAAGAACAAACTGTCCTCCCAGCTCCAACGTTCTGTATATTGCATGCCTGATAAGATGTATACCCTTCTGGGGCACCAATCTTGTTATGCAGCCCACCTATTGCACAACAAATATTTTAATAAAATCCACAAAATCTCCAATTTCATTATGTAGCCTACGCCACTGCTCCAATGTCTGGAAAACCAGAAATGAAACTACGAGCAGATTGGGAGTCATATCTCAACTACTAAACTGTTTCAATTTAATAAAAATTGAAAAAAAAAAAAAAAACAATGATTTTGTTCCAAATCGTAATCTAAATTATAAATATCTGCACTGCATGCGATTGATAGCATGAAATCAGAATAACAGATATACATTCAGAAGTGGTCATAAAATGTTGATCTGAATACAATTAATAAATCCCACTGCACAACTGTAATCAGCTCAAATTCCTAAAGGGTGAAGTGAAGCTTCAGTTTACTCAACACTAGGGGGAAAATGTATATAAGATGCGCATATATGTCAGGTAACATTATGTCAGTCTTAAAGTTCAAAATTAAACACAAATAAATCCTAGATTAAACATAAAACAAAAGGAAGCTACAAAATATTTTAATTCAGAAAGCACCAGATACATAACTTATTGTCTCATAAAAAGTAATTACCAGAGGTTTTCTGACAATAGAAGACAGCCCTAGATGCCTTCTTATAGCATCTTTATTTTCTGCCTTCCCCTCAAGATCATTTGCATTATATTGGACTTTGATAAATGAATCGGTAGTAGGATTCCACACATCAGTATCAATTCCATTAAGAATGCCAAAGAATTTCTTCGAATGAAAATTAAGCGTTGAGTGGAGACCATGTCCTCCCTGTAGCCCATATGGATGTCAATCTCAGTGCCCCGGAAGACAAAAACTTTAAACCAAAAGACCGCAATCTGATTAAACACTTCCTAAGCACATGAGCTATGCGAAATATAAAAAATACATCATTAAAGAAAGAATAAGTGGTTCATTTAAACTGTCTATGATTCCACCCTCCCCACAGAAGGGTATACATCTTATCAGGCATGCAAGATGTGAACTAAATTTTGCTAGAGGTTATCTTCTTGAGTTTTTAATTCAGTTTGGAAAAGTCAGAAGTGATTTAAATTACATTCTCGAGTCTTTTTAATTGATTCTGGTTGTCAAGTACGCTAAATAAAAGAAGTGAGAAATTCTTTTGACCTTCACTGATCGAGAAGAAGAAGATAGAAGAAGATAGGAAAATAATTTTTACTTCTGTCCAGCTCCCGGGATATAAATATAATCACGATTTGATTTCTCCTGGTAACCCCCTTCCCTTTACGACAACTAAGTGTATCATCCAACCTAATCCCATTAATGAGCCCAGACAGTTCAGAAAATTGTGGTTTCCAAGCCCCGATAATCAAGGCAAGCATATGACCCTACGAACAACTTAGTTGACCACAAATAGGCAAGGTATGTTTCAAACACTCTTTTGTGGTAGTAACAAAAAAAAAATAATAAGAATAATAAAAAAAAAATCCAAACAATTTAAACATTAAGTTGTGATTACACTCTTTATTTAGGGTAAATTAGAGAAGTTGCCCCTCCTAAAAATATGAGAACAAGCAGGCATGTTTATCCCAAAATTTTATTTTGAAATCATCAAACCTATATTCACTACAAGGAAGCAGAATGCTGACAAGATGACTTGAAATGAGAATGGAGAAAAGGTTCAAATAGGGAAGAAGCTCCCTCGCAGTAATCAACTTCAATTTTGGTCTATTCTCACCCCCAACGGAAAATATTTGCAGTTGTTTTTAGAATCATTAAAATCTCAAATTGGGCCATAATGATAACTTCCCAAATCAAGTCTTGTGGAGATAAATTGCAAGCCAAAGAAATGGACAAGTTGGTGAGTTGCAAGGTTGAAAATTGGCCTATGGTAATCCGTCCAAAAAGTACAAATGTCAAGACGCTCATTATTGAAAAGGTTAAGAGTAAATTCCAAAGCACTAACATAAACATACTGAACATAACGATACACAGTCACGTACAATTCTCCCACGAAAACAGATTCCTATCAAAGACAATTTGGTACGCTTTCTGATAGTTAAGCAAAAATCATAGCAATGAACCAATAAAATCTTTGATTGACACGGTCATCCAAAGAAAACCCTTCATTGATATGAGTGATATAAGATATCTTTAATGCAAATCATACCTCAGCTCTCCGCACCTCTTGAGCATAGGTGGGTGATACTGTTGTGACAATATTAGAGAAGACAACTGCACCCTGAGACAACGCAGTGTCCATCATAAAATTCTCCTAATAAATAAGGAGATTGAAAATATTCTGAATACCATACCTTAACAGGGTTGATCCTATCATAAGCAGAATTATCCTGTAATCTGTCTTGTCTGTTTAGCTGGTCAACATCAAGGCCACAAGAAGCCAAATCTGAAGCAGGGGCGGTTCCCTGATACTCAAAGTTGTGGCAAGTAAAACAAATTCTTGCAGAATTCAATCCTTTCGGGTAGTACAAATCCCAATATAATGGAGCCTGAAAAAGCAAATAAAGTCAGTTGCCAAAAGATTGAATGATCAACAGATATTAAAGTCGTACAATGAATGCTGTTTGCCAATCGTGGCAATGTATTATATCAGGTCTCTTGCCAGCCCGTAGGAGTAACTCAAGTGCAGCACGGCTGAAATATGAAAAACGTTTAAAGTCATCATGCTCCCCATAATACTGAGCCCTCCAGAAGAACTTATCAGGATGATGAGGCTCAATAAAGTAAACGGGAAGACCTGCAGAAGTTAAATTGACACATTTAATTTTTAAAAATAATTAATTAAATAAAAATTTAGACCAGATAAATATTGACCTTCAACAGTGCCAACCCATATCTTATTTTTGAACAACCGCCCATCAAAGTACGACTCAAGCACCATATCCAGGAGCTGTAAAGCAATCAAAGTACTCTAACATATTAATAAAAACAGCAAAATAGCACATTAGCAACGCTTATTCGTTCATTAGGTTTATACTTCTGAAATCATGGCATACCCTTAAATCTTTAATAAGATTGTACTGCATGCAATCATATTTAGGAAGAACAATTTCCACAAGATGCCCTCTCCTTTGCAGCGCTTTGCTGAGACCAGTGATGACATCACCCAAACCACCAACCTGCAAAAGGAATGTCATTTCATAAACTACTTTTACTCTTAACATATAATATAAAAAACCAAATAAAGGATGCGGTATTTTATTTGCACGAACAGAAAAAAAAGTGCAAAAACAACTTAGTAAAAATATAAATAAAGAATGTGTGGTAAAAGATCCCTCCCTAACCACCCCACCCTCGGGAGAAATTTGACATGTTGCGTTCTATTGCAACAAGAAGGATAATTCCTACCCTGTTAGCTGTGAAAAGAGATAGACTAAAACAAATGATGATAGACGGAAGGAGGACACATTGAAATATTGAAAGCCTAGAAGAGAGCAAGAGGATCTTCAAACATAACAAAAAATTAACATTAATAAAACCCAAGAGCTATTGCACTAGCGACAACTCACCTTAGCCACTGGTGCCATTTCTGCTGCAATGTGGATGACATAGAGTCCTGAACTAAAGATAACAAGAATACTGATTAAACAACATTTTCATCTAAGGCAATATATGCTAAGTTACAGTTATTATACCGTTTAGGAGATGATGTCAGATTAAGAAAGATAGCCACGGCCTCAAGTTCATTCTTTTCCTTGCAAGCCATATAAGCATCATAAATGCGTGCATCCCTCTTCCATGTCATCTCTTTCAACAGTTTAGCATCTTCATTCGATATTTTCCCTTCAAGTAACCAACCATCGATCAATAGCAATAGACGACTCCAAAACTCCAAAGGCATATCATTTACAGGCTCATCTACTGCTGTTTTCTTGCTTGCTTCTTTGACGGTATCCAGTGTATCTTGAAACTCCTCCACAGATTCCTGATATAATTTGATATAAGACTGCAATTCTTCATCAGACCTTTGAAGGCGATCCTCCAATAGATCTATTTTTTGTTGCATTAGTTCATAGTCTTGCCGAAACTTTTCTGAAGACAATTTTAAGACGTTAGCTTCTTCAAGGGATTCTTCCAATTTCTCAACCTTTTCTTGGAGCTCTTGGTTATGTTGCAAGACCAGAATAGCTTGTTCTTCCTGCTTGGTTGCCTTGTCTTGCAGGATTTGCAAATCTTCTACCCTCTTCCTCAAGTCCTCGCATTCAACTTTCAGGGCAGACAGATCTGAAACATCTTCTTGAGAGGTTGACAGCTTAAGCTCCAAGTCTTTCAGCGAACCCTCCAAAACTGACCGTTCTTTTTCCAAAAATACCAGATGTTGATTGGCATTCTTAACATTACTCAACTCTTCCTTGAGTGTTTGTATATCATTCTTCAGGATGACATTTTCTGACCTCAGTAAATGAAGCTCCTTAGTAAGAGAATCAGTAAGAACATTGTTCTGGTTTCCATGCAGACCAAGGTCGCTGAGTTCAGTACCACCACTGAAATTTAGCTGCTTCTGCAACTTTTCAAATTGGTCTTCCAACAGCTCCACGTGTACCTTTTCTTGGTCATCCGCTTTAATTTGAACATCCGTTTCTGCTAATCTCCTTTCCAAACCATTGATCTCTCTCTGCAATTCCTCCTTTTCAGCAAGGATCTTTTCAAGATCTTTCAGGGCATGAACCCGAGCTTGGTTGAGTAGAAGGATATCTGCGAGATAAGAACCACAATTGCATACAGCAGGTAATAGAATGGTCATAACCAAATAAAATTTTTTGGGATTAAAAGGAAAGAAAGCCCACTTTTCTCTGCAGTTTTTATCATCCCAATCAAATCTTCAAGTTGAACACCTGTATTTGATCCTTCAATGTCAACTTTCTCGGTCTGAAATTTCAGAAGACTTACATTCAATTGTCTGCTAAAGTTGTTACATGTCCAGACAAGACAATATGAAGATCCTTATAAGAGAAACTAATATAAATGAAGATTCTTAGATGAGACAAATTCAAGAAAACAGAGGGAAGTAGGGAATAACATTTGATTGAACAGCATTAACAACCTTGAAAATAACCTAATCTAGGACCATAATCGGAATCTTATATTACTTCCTAATAAAATCAATATATGGCTCAAGAAATCAAACGTTTTTCAGAAGTTTCTTCCACCTCTCTAGCAGCAATTTCATTGGAAGACCAAAGAGGTAAATATGAGGACAGTGCAATTACTTTACCGAAGGTTCAGTTAGACCACTTATTTCTTTCTCGCTAACATGCTGCACAGCTAAGCTAGTGTTGACAACAGCACTAGACAAGCTCTCCTGATTCAAAATTGGAACCCTCTCCACCACAATTTCAGTTTCAGAGTCCTCGTCATCATTTGGATGAAAATCAGCTTGCACTGACAAATGTTCATAGGAGGCTTTCTTCAATTGTTTCCTCTTGCGCCGGGAACTGTACAGAATTTTCATGCTATCAACAAAATGTAGAATGTCCAAGAAATTGGGGTAAACCTTGTATCAATTGCATTTAGACAAACAGACAGACACAACGAAGTCATCCGTTCCTTTCATCTCAATATATATATGTGTGTGTGTGTGTATTAGCTCTAGTTCGAGGTAGGAGAACTTCTCCAATAGAATTGAATTTAAACAAAAAAAAAAAAAAAAAAAAGAGAGAGAGAGAGAGAGAGAGAGAGAAAAGATAATAATTACAGAAACTATTGGCTTGGAACTCCGCCTAGAGATCATAAAGCATACAACAAAGGCTAACCTCTATCCTAGACGGAACATCAAACATTCTCCAATTTGCCTCGATTCAATATGTAGTTCATATGACTAAAATCAAAACATCAACTCGATAACAATCTGTTAATTAGAAAAGTTAAAATAGATAAAAAAGATAAACAGTTGAAAAAAAATACATAAAGTTTAAAAAAAAAAAAAAATCAAGAAAGGTGAGTTAGAAAACAAAACGTACGTGAAAATCAAGAATCCAAAAGAGTCAAGAGAAAATCCAGTGGAAACAGATTAACAAGACACAACGGAGAGTCGAACAAGTTCAAAACCTTAACGTACCATGGCAATTACAGACGACGAAATAAATAAGCAACAAGATTAAAAGGCAAAGGAGAAAACATTGAGAAAGAACCTGAGATTGCGAGGTCGCATTTTACATGAAGCATTAAGCAAGTAACGGGAAGAGTGAGGAAACTGTGAATTATCCGCTAGTTTTCCGCTCAAAGAACCAAATCCAGAGCTCAGAAACAACGTCGAGAGCTTCGTTGCCATTACGCTTAAACTTCCAATAACCACAAGTTATCCCTGCTATCTCGAAGCCTCAGTATCATCACATACTCAAAGAAAGAAGGATAGAATATTATACAACTAATTGCTTCGCCAAGACTTCATTTCCATAGAGCTTTACTTAGAAAATGGAGGAGAACAGATACCTGATCAGAGTAGCGATAGAGAGAAAGAGATCCAAGAGTTCGGCGGGAGTTCAGTTCATTTCAACTCCCAATGTATAACAGCGAGAAACTTGAGATGGAAAAAAAGTGCACAGAGATGTACAGAGCGCGAATACATTATACGTGAGAAACTTCTCTGCCGCACGTGCGTGCACAGTACTCCAACATAGAGTAGTATCTGCGTCCCATCGCAAACCTTATCTCAATCCAACGGTAGTGATGCTCTGCTTTTTGAAGCAACCGGCAAGCAATTAAGTTTGGATGACTTGCAAAAAAAATATCCTTATTTGTCAATTAAAATTGAAATTCCTCTTCGACATTTATTTGTTAATAAATCAAATTAAGAGAAACGGATCAATTTTCAAATTTAATTGAATGGTTTAGTAAATTTAGCTAAGAAAGAATAAGTTGTAATTTAAAAAAATAGGGAAAAAATTGTCTCCTTTTCCTGCCTTTCTTTCTCGTCAAAATTGTCAATGATACTTCGCTGACCACTCAGTAGATGAAGTATTATCCTTCTAGAAATAAGCTGCCAATGGAAAATGAGTTTTGAACATTGATAGCCTACTCGACTACAGGCCTTCCTTCAATTATACAAGTAGTGTCGAAAGCTTGACATAGCCACAAAAGATACGTCATGAACTCGAGCACCTGAATCGACATCATCACAAGGGGCACGAATCTATTTACTTGCAGGAGAGGTGAAATAAGTGAATGATGAATGCAATAGAAATAATAAAAAAGTTCAGTTGAGCATCAGATACAACTCTATGCACAAGAACCGTCATTTTCTTCACTAATTTGAGGTGGGGATGGGATAACAAAAAGAATGAAATGATACATTGATCACAATATTACAAAACTTTCCTTTTTCTTATACCTATGAAATTCGAGGGCTCTAAGAAACTCCAGGGGGACACAATTGGTACCTAGCTCATCATCCAAAATGATAGAAATTGAGGGGGGGTTTTCCCCTCAACTACCAGAGTTCTAGTTTTAGTAATCTATCTGCAAGCAACAGCAACGCCCCTCTAATAAAGTCTTCCGTTTTGATCGAGAGGCAAAAATTCAATATAATTCCTTTCTATATGTCTCTTCAGTCTTCACTAGTTTTCCCTGTAAAAATAATTTAACAGTGCTGAGGTTGCAGGATATCACTGATTAGCTGCTCGAGTTCTAATTATTAAGCATATGATGTCAGTGTAATAAAATCAGTATTGAAGAAAGCCAAAATCCAACCCTTCTGGGTTAGAGAATAAGAGGTCACAAAGGGGCTTACCATTTTAATAAAGGATAAAAACGACAACCAGCGAGATGCAATATAAACATACAGAAATTGCAGCTCCGGCAAGGAAATTATGCAACAACCGTCTATTATCTTTTGTAGGTACAAAAGTTGTCTTTAGAGTATTGGTTAACTCAAAAATCCTAAGGGAGACCTGCAAAGCAGAAAAAATATAAAAGATAAATGATGCAGATTGATCGAGAGTATTTGGCCCTAGAAGATTTTTGACTGAGAACATTCTTACTATGACATAGATAGCAGTTGTCAGCATGAAGTTGAGCATCGGGTAGTCTGGAATGATCGACAGAAGCCACTTTGGCTGTCCATTAGACACATTCGATCTGTACAACCGCAAAAAAGACTGCAATTACAATAAAATATTACACAATGAAACATTCCAAGAAGTTTTCACTCGATATTTTTTCTTATAGTCGAGCCAATGCCCCAATCATGAAATACCATTTCAGGTTTTGTATTTCAAATGCAACTGGCATTTTATTTACTTGATGACGATATGGTCAATTAGCCGTACATAGTAGAGCCATGCAAATAAATGTTGATTATGGTGCATGGGGAAAGAAGGGCAGGAAAACCTGAAGCCATTTCTTTGTAATAAAGCAGGAAATTTCAATACCAATGTACAAACTTGAAGATATAGTGGAACAAAATCACCACTTACATTTTCTATTCCCTAAAATATATTCATCCATTCAATGAGTTATTTTTTGAAAACAAAACGAAGGATGGTTTCAGCAGTAACTTCCTAAATACATCAAATTAAGAATTTATGAACTAACGTAAGTTGTCTGTAATAAAGGGCTGAAGGTAGAATACACGCATCTTCCAGGTTTTGATTATGATTATAGACTTGGGTGAAAAAGGTGAATGACAGCGTAGTTATAAAACCATCTTAACATACCTCAACCATATATGGAACTGTGAAATATACGTCTCCAATGTAATCTTGCCAAGCCACCTAACAACGCAATGGGCAAATAAATGAATGTGCAAAATAAGAATTAACGCAATCAGGACTGAGCTTTATCGATGGCAGGTAACAGAGATTACATACGCAAAGAGGGTCAAAGAGTAGCCTCGCAATTGCTGTGTAAAGTTTCGCAAGAAAATGTAAACACTGTGACCACATAAAGCAAAAAGAAACATTAAGATAGTGGTAACTTCCATACACCCAAATTCCAAATTTGCCAGCCATCTAGGGAGGATGAAACAAAAAACGACAACAATATTGATTAAGGTAAACATATTATATTCAACACTCACGTGATAGGAATCCATGATGTGTAAGGGTGATATTTGTTGTAAGTCACCTTGTCCAGCTTGTAAATGCACTCGTACCACATATAACCAGCCTAATCATGGAAATCAGAATAAGATCTATTTGACAGAAAGTATGAAAACAGATTATCAAACCAAAGAAGTTATAGCCTCCAAATTATGCCACTTACTAATACAGAAACGGTAACAATGCTTGTCTTGATCGAAATTCTCTTCCTTGTTTCAGCCTCCTCCAACTTCTCCATCCATTTTTCAACCTGGAATTTGAGAGCACTTAAAAGTCAATTTCTGAGATAACCGAGGAAGCAAGATCTATGAAACTCTTATGTCATCAAAAGTTTACTAATTTACATTGGGGTGATAGTATGCATAGATCATGCCGATGATCCAGATATAGCGATCCAGACCAGATCTAAAATGCCATTCATGCAGTTTGGGGATATCAGGTTTTGCCGGATCAGAATACCCTGTCAATAAAAGAAAAGGAAAAGAAAAACAATCATTATACTTGCACATTGTCAGGTCAGCAGATAAAGGGGCACTTCACAACTATATATGTCTTTGAACAACCAAATTATCCACGTTCCATAAGTTACACAATTCACTAGATAAACTTAACATTAAAGCACAAAAATAACCAGTTAACCAACCCATATATGGAAAGCGAAAAATGTGTTTGGACAATTATTTTTCTTTTTCCTTTTAGTGTATTCTCAGAAATGATTTAGTTCTAATTTATTTATTTTTTTAAAAAAAAAAAGGAGATAGAAGAAAAGAAAAGGTTGTCATTCCACTTGATATCTACCAACTTAGTACCTTCACACGCTATTAACTTATATGCCATGAATGAAAAAAAAATAAAGAAACAGTTGAATGGCAACTAACTTTATCTGACAAAATAAAATATAGAAAAAGGAAGGGAAAAAAAAAACTAACCAAAAAGGAACGTTAATGGACTCCAGATTATCTCAAAAACTCCAGGAATTTCCCAAACTGCAATAACCACAAGGAAGCAAGCAAGAATCTTTGTAATCATGACTGATCTTATCTCGTTGTACTTGTTAAAGATTCCAAGAGCTCCGTACACCATGAGGGTGAAAATTGTATGCATTGGACAGATGTAGTACAACATGTAGTCGTTGTTAAGAACAATACAGCAAAATGCGACAAAGAAATTTAACCGCCACATCATCTGCATCACAAAATAGAAAATGTCAAGCACTGTTAGTAACGGGTATCCTTGGAGTTCAGGGAGGAAGTTCCATAAAAAAAAAACTTGGTTGGTGAAACAATTATCAACTGCCTTTTTTTTTATTTATTTAAAAACGAAAAAAACAACCGGAGAGAGAGAGGGAAGGAGGGAAAATCACCTGAGCAAAGCGTGCCAAGCTAAAATCCTTTCTAATATAATAGTAGGAGAAGTTGCCAAATCCAGTCATCCACACATAAGCAGCAATAAATATCCTAATAGCATTATAAATTTCCGTTGCAGCAAAATAATGGTACATTAAAAAAAGAACCTGCAAGAACCCAAAAAAGTGTAAAGGCAATTATAACGTTGGAAGCACAAGAAGCTGATCGGCATGTAACAATTAGTACGAAGGAGAGAAACAAGCACGAGCTAAAATTACTCAGAAGCAAGGTTACTTCAAATCAAACAAATATGGAAGTTCTAAGTCCCACAATGAGAGTATATTATTTTTTTCTAATCACATGGAAGTTTCTCTTCAAGGTATACCTATTCCTTAACGTTGTAATTTTAAAGATCCCAACACTACATCTAAAATGATCTTACAAAAGTTGAAAATCATATAGAAGAGATGTGAAAACAACCAGATTAATCATCCTACATTCTTCATTTTTGTATACCTATAGGGTCTAGTCGAATAAATAAAAACTGACAACTAAAAATATGTTTAAGTTATGGAAAGATATACATCTTTTGACACCTACAACTGCTAAAGAAATGACGAAGAATCAATGATAAATAGCATTAGCCCCTCACATTGAGTACTTAAATTTGATCCCATGGTTTGTAAAGTTATTTGATTACAGGTCATATCTTTATTGTATAGAACTTGCCTGCATCCACCCTTTCCATTCCTCTGTTTGATGACGATTCAGGTAAAGTATTGCCTTTCCAGAAAATGCTGATTTATCATTGTGTTTCTTCAAAGAGGTCATTGCGGAAACAATGATAAGAAGGATGTAGAGAAAGAGGAAGAGATCCCGATTGTAATTCTGCTCAAGAAAAAACCATTGATAATTAGCTGACTAAACTGAATTCCATCAGGATCATCTATCAATAAGTATGTTCAGATTCCTTTCTTGTTATCTAAAAAATATAGTAATATGAGAAATCTGTCAGTTATATGGATATGTATAAAAAAGACAAGTGGTTGAAATCAAGTCCCAATTTAATTCTGTATCGTACAAAAATATGTTCATCAAGTACAGAAGAAAAGTTGGATGGGAGGGAGGAGAGAATCGAAAATGGACCAAGAAAGAATTGAAAATCCAAACTCAGATAATTAATCTGTATGATCAGTTACAGAACACTTGGTCTGAGTTTATGGTAGTTGAAAAAT